CCTCCTCCTCTCCCCAGCTCGCCTGCGCGCCGCCCGCCCGCCCTCCCTTCCTCCCTCTCCCCTCGCAGCCCCTGCCTGCCCGCCCGCGCCGCGCTCGCCCTTCCATTTAAAAATCTTTAAAACTTTGCATATTAATATCTGCGCTTTGCATAATCTGACCCGCGCTTTATTGATTGCAAGAAGCTTAATGCAGCCGGCTCGGCCTATTGCAGAGAGCTCTCCGGGCGGGAGCCGGGCGGGCGCCGCTCGCTCCACACCGCGCTCGGGCTGCCCGCCGCCGCTGCGGCCCCGGCCCTCTCGCCTCCCTCCCGGCGCCCGGCGTCGGGGCTTTGCCCCCTGGCTGGGTATTTTTATTATTTGGGGGCGAGGTGTGTGTGTGGGGTCGGCTTACTGTTGGTGGCAGCGAGGGAACCAAAGGAGAGATGTGCGTGGTTGTGGGGGGGGGGAGGGATGGGAAGAAATGGGGACGCAGAGGAGGTGAGGAGGAAGAGAAAGAGGGGAGAAGGGGCAAGAAGGAAGGGGAAAGGAGAGGCGTGGAGGAGGAGGCAGTAGAGAGAGGAGAGAGCAGTCGACTGGGGACGGAACTGAAAGGACGGAGGAGCGGAGCGGAGCGGAGACAGAGAAGAGAAAGGAGGGAGGCCCAGGAGCGCAGACTAGAGAAAGAGCGGCCGGCCGGGAGCTGGCAGAGGAGACGGGCGGTGGGCGCTTTCATCGCTGCCGCCCCCAGGCCAAAAAAATAAAGGAAAAAAAGAAAAAAATAGCACCAGTAAAAAGACGAAAATAAACCACATCGCGGCTGGGGCCATCATGTACAAAAAGGAGCGAGCGCAGAGAGGAGAGACAAGGTGGCATCTGCGCCCGACTGGCTTCGTTCGGCGCTTTGGAGAGGCTCCCCGGGCTGGGCGGGATCCCCATTTTGGACCCTGCATTTGGGGAGCGGGCGACTGTGGGGAAAATGAGGCGAGAGGGGGTCAGGGCTGGTGGCGGTGCCGCCTGTTTGTTTTTTCCTCCCTTTCCTGGGGGTGTGGGGGCCGGTGTAGTGTGATGATGGTGAGGATATTGGTTGGTGATGCTGTCTGAAGCTCGGAAGCAAGCAGGGTGCATGGGGGGGGGGGAGGGGGAAGAGGGCACGGGCAACGAGCAACGGCTGGGGGTGGGAATGAGGGGCAAGAGAAAGAAACGGGGTGCCTCGGACTGCCAGAAGGGTGGAAGCCGGGACCTGGGCTCCAAGAGGCAGCGGTATTTCTGGCCGGAGAGGTGGGCAGCGGAGCTCCAGGGCCCCGGAGCAATGTTGGGGAGCCAGGGTGCGCCCCTCAGTTCTCTGGGCAAAGTCTGTAACTTGGGGAACCCCCTTGGCCACCTCCTCCTGCCTCTTTTCTCCCTTCTCTTTTCTTCCTCTCATGTCCTACCTCGGGCTCCTTTTTCTCCATCTCCTTTGCTGGTGTCTCTTTCTCCCTGTTTTCCAGTTTCTCTGTCTCTTCCTCCTCTCCACAAAAACTACCCCCCACCCCCTCAGGTCTTCTTTTTTTGCCATCTTCCTTTTCTCCACCCTCCCTTTCTTTTTCTCTCTTTTCCCCCTTCCCCCTGTCTCCCTCCCTGCCACTCATTTTCCCTGTCGCCCCGTCCTTTCTACCCCCTCCCTCAGCTTCATTTATTCATCACTTTTGTAGCATTCGGCTTGAACAGCGTGCCAGGGAGAGGGGCTCTGTGCAAAGACAGGACTCCCCCAAGTTCCCACCAGAGCCTAAGCCTTATTCCGCAGACCCATGTATTTCTACCCTCTTTTATCCCTGCTGGGGACTTGGGTCTGCCCCAGGTGGGGGGGGGGGCTCTAGCGCCATCCCCCTATTTCCTCTGGCCTCCTGGAGAAGTCCTGCTGGATGCTCACTGGGGCCATGGCAGGGGGAGGGGAAGGCTTTAAGTGAGGGCTCATGGTTCTGGACTCAGCCCCGCTGAGAGAGAAGGGTGTGGACAGAAAAGAAAATGACACGGATGGCTAGTGGGCAGTGAAAAGGGGAGGCGGTTTGTGCGGGGGTCCATCTGAGAGGGTCCTCAGAGCTTTTGCGCCCCAGGTAAAAGATCCAAAGAGAAAGCCTCTGGCCTGCTGACCACTCCCCGCTCTTTCCC